AGTAAATGTTTGATCAATCTTGTTCTAATATTTCAGTTTAGCCGTTTTAATAGCACGCTTAACCTCTCGGTTTTTTCAAACCTAGAGCCGGTGTAGAAAACTCTCTTTTTCTTGTTTAAAAATGTCCTTAGTCACCCAGGGCTTGTTGTTGGGAAAGATGGTAGCCTGCTTATTAGGAATGATGTTGTCCACACAGAAAGATATATACGACGATACTATATCCACTTGCACATTAATATCAATAGATGGAGCTATGAGCGTATTCCAATCAGTTGTTCCAAAGCATCCTTGTAGCGTATCAATGCCTATCAATGTCATTAGTCCATTGTTTAACAAGCTTTACAACCTTCACTGACCTCGTTATAACCCGTAAATATATTGGTGCATGCAATACAGTATGGTGATCAGCAGAACCAAGTGGTTAAAGAGATATTCATTCCAGTCTGTCTGAGATTTTTGTGGTGGCATTTGCTCTCGGATGAACATAAACCGATATATTAAAAAAGCCGTGGATATTCCCTGGGCAGGTAAAAAGGGCGTAGGGTCACGGCCAAAAGTTCAATGTCACAGGTGCGCGACTTCTCCCTTACGACAACCGTTGAGCACCGGCATTTATTTACATAAAAACAAACACCACTGCCATGTTGTTTGCCCGTAAGCACATTATCCCGGTCGAGTCTCAGGGGAATCCCAAAGCCATCTATATGTAAAGTGTCATCATCATCGTTCTTATTTAGCCACGTTTCAGTGAATGCCAGACTAGAAGCAGTCCTAAATTGATGCAAATAGTTCACATTAGCTTGCAGTTCATCAATTTTGTTACGGAGAGAACAAAGCCGAAAAAAAGACCCCCTCCCTTTTTTTAGTTCATGAGACCAGCGTGTCCTCAGATTATCTGGAAGATTCTTATTATAAAGATAAACATATAATACTTGCTCCAAAAAAAAAAAAAAAATTTTTTTTTAAATGTAAAAACACCAATGACCAAAAGAATCCGTATCGTTCACTAGCAGATGTTCCAAACAATCAGTCAACCACAATATGGCTAGTTAGAACGCACCTTAGAACGCACATGTAGCCACAATAAATCTACGTTTATGCTACAGATTGTAAACTAGATGTGCTCGATATACAAAAAAATACCCCACAAGCAAAAACTATAAAAACTATAAAGCCACGCTACTCTACAGAGCCAACCGGTCAGCGACTCGGCAGCGACCCATCATCAGACTGTTTATAGCTGCTATAAAGTAGGTGATAATAGGAATGACTTGTTTAGCAACAGTTAAATGTAACTATAAATGGATAAAAAAGTAGTGAAGTTGTTCTTTACTGAATAAAAAATTGTCAGCATTGGAAAGCTGCTTGTAGTTTAAGGAAAATAATCAACTCTATTTCAGTCAATCAAATCAATTATTGATTATTGTCTTATAACAGCACTCCCCACTTATGTTTTATTCCCCACTTATTGTATTAGGGTACCATGTACTGCTTGAACCTTTCACAATTTGAGTTATTCTGTATATTAACTAAAACATTGATTACTATAAACTTATATATTATGCCTCAGGTGGAGGAGATGCAGTGGTCCGGAGGCGAGCATTACATCCCTGCTTCTGTGTGTAGCTTCCCATGCCAGCCAGGCGAGAGGAAGAAGATGGTGAAAGGCGTACCGTGCTGCTGGCACTGCGAGCCCTGCGATGGCTATCAGTACCAAGTGGGCGAGCTGGCATGCGAAATGTGTCCGTTCGACATGAGGCCCACGGCGAACCACACTGCCTGCACGCCCACACCCATCATCAAGCTGGATTGGCACTCGCCCTGGGCTGTCGTGCCCATGTTCCTGGCCATCCTGGGCATCGCAGCCACTCTGTCCGTAGTGATCGTTTTTGTACGCTTCAACGACACGCCCATCGTGCGGGCGTCAGGGCGCGAGCTGAGCTACGTGCTGCTCACGGGCATCTTCCTGATCTACCTCATCACGTTTCTGATGATCGCCGAGCCGAACACGGTGGTGTGCGCTTTACGCAGGCTGCTGCTCGGCCTCGGGATGTGCATCACCTACTCGGCCATGCTGACCAAAACCAACCGCATCTACCGCATTTTCGAACAGGGCAAGAAGTCGGTGACGGCGCCGAAGTTCATCAGCCCTACATCGCAGCTCGTCATCACCTTCATCCTCGTCTCCTTCCAGGTGAGACAAAACTGATCACAGTCCAGCGCTCCGAAAATTCATCAATCATATTTGGTCATGTTAGAAAATAAAACAAGATCATAGGGTTGTAGCGTAGGCATATTACATTATTGCTAATAAATATGAATATAATATATATTATTATTATTATATTATAAGTGCGGTTATCAAGTCTCCTGTACTTCGAAGAAGAGTTCCATATTTCAACCTTATTTTAGGCACACTGACTTCTTCTCAAAAGCTGTTTATTTGTCCCATACTTCAGACATGAACTCTTTTTTTTCATTGCTGGAACTCTGCTCAGATAATCATAAGGTTGAGTGGCTAGGATGAAATCATATCCTGATGTGTATTGGATTAATATTTATTCCATGAAGCCCTTCAGAACGAGTTAATTGACCAAATAGACATTCGTACAATTTACGTTGGCGAAGCTAGGGCCGTTTCTCCAGGTCTTTTTGAAAGTGTAGCCTGTTAGAAATGTCTTATATGATATAAATATCACTTAAGACCTATTAGTTTTGGTGGCATCAGTAACACAACCTAGCAATGATTAATACACAATCCCAGTACGCATGCTGCTTTGACCGTATCACTGCAGCATGAATTTATCTAACACAACAATAATGAAATGAGTGCCACAGCGGCGTACTTTACAGCTTCAGGGTTGTTTTGATCCTGAGATCCTGAGCTCCGGTTACTTAAATATATAATAGCCCTCTCTGAGGATGATTCAATGAATAATGACACTGTGACATGTAATATAAATCGAGGCTATCGTTATAATAAGCCGTTTAATCAGGTTGTGAGATTACGTTCTTTGGTTTTTTCTTCCTCTAATGGGCTCCCAGTGAAGTGATGTGAACCACAGCAACGCCATTGTTAAAAAAACTCTTTTAGAACATCCATCATTCTGTTGCCTTTGGCCTTACAAAGTCAGCATGGATCGAAATGGAAGTGTTTCTGATCCTTGGAATGAACGTTAGACAGAAAACACAGTAAACGTTCATAGCGTATTGGCCTGTTTGTGATTAACGCGCTTATTATAATAAGCTATCGCTCCTATAGTAACACATGGACTTGTACGGCCTGGTCAGTGATGGAGACTTGAGTGCAAAACTGTTCATGGCAATTGCATTCCAAAGCCATCTTTATGGTTTCTATGTGATTACATGCACATTAATCTCATGTATCTTTATGCTGTCCATATGGGGGCCATGCTTAGCAGCAGTGACTGGTTTCCAATTGATGGCTCCAAAAGTCAGACATGGGTCTTCAATCTTATCCACAAAGGGCTGGTGTGGCTGCAGGCTTTCATTCCAATCAGGCAGGAGCCACACCTGATTCCACTCATTTAATCAGTTCGTCTCCACTCATCATGTATGCCTCTTATTTGTCTGGTATGAAAGCCTGCAGCCACACCGGACCTTTTCGGATAAGATTGAAGATCCCTGTCATAGACACACAATAGATCAACAAGTGGGTTAAAAAAAAGCGATCAGCAAGGATCACAAAGAACGGAGGTTTGTGCATGTTTTTGAATCAGTAATTGGGAACAGGTGTGTGTGTGTGTGTGTGTGTGTGTTTCTGCGTGTGATTAGAGTGAGGTGACAAACACAAAACACATCTGCCTGCGTTTACCCAAAAGAACCTGTGCGAGGGATCATAAATGAAACATCTCGGAAACATCTCAGTAGATCGACTGGTTCACCTCAAACATCTCATTAGTGATCCCAGTGCATTCTGGGAAAATGGAGACGTGATCCATTCTGGGTTAAACCCTTTCCTCTCCCAGGATGCGTCACTGGGTCCAGACCTACACTCGACAAATCGAGAACTTCATTCCGCATTCATATAACCACCGCTTTCGTATCGGATTGACTGTAGTTACTGTATAACAAGGTCAAGGGGCGTCCACTGGCAGGCTGTAGTCCAGACGCGGCCCCAGTAAAAATATTTCAGAGGACTGAATTAAATAAAAGCAGTCGTTCAATAGCTGACCCAGCTCACCAGGATCTCTAGCAGATCTTCTGATAGCATCTTGTGGTAAATTTTTTAGCTTTTGAAGACAGCTCGTCTGACCAGAGAGTAGCTACAATGCCTGGAGACATTTGTTCAGAAAAGGGAGAGTCTTCACAGATTTTCATAGATGTTTTTCGTTTTTATTTTCTCTCTCTGGTCTGATTAGCGCAGGCTTTTTTAAACGGAATGCTAAAAGACAGGGAAGGATGCATTTATTCTCCGTGTCAAACTCGGAACTGCTTCTGTTGTTCCACCGAGTCAGAATCACTCGATGTTGTCGAAGGAACTAGCGGAGGTAGGTGGACAGGGAAAGGTTTATTGCTGAACTCCTACACTAGCGCAGCGTGTCAGGATAGTGAAAAATAACACGTACAAAATCTCTTCGTCTACATTTCTAAACAGTAGCACACAAAATTCATATTTAGAGTGAAATAAATGAAACAAATAAGAAGACTGGGAGTTCCTGCACTAATTGTTAAGCATCTATTAAGTTAAGGTAAGCACTAATTACCTTAGCACTAATTACCTTAGCGTAAGAACTAAGTTAAGCACTAATAGTTAAGGTAAGTGTTGTCCCCATCCAGTATTGGAAATCGTTAGTCGCTTCAATGCCTTTATAAGCAAGATATTTTACGTAGTGACCCAACTTTAGTCAAATACCCCTGTTAAATAATCAGCATGGCAAAAAAAAAATGCCATCTTAGCACGTGAAAATATATTGAATTTAGATTGAACTCGATCTATCTAGTATTTCTTATTATAAGATATTTGCAGATAAATTAGGGGCGCGGTGGCTTAGTGGTTCGCATGTTTGCATCGCACCTCTGGGGTTGCGTGTTCGAATCCCGCCTCCGCCCTGTGTGCGTGGAGTTCTCCTTCTGTGCTTTGGAGGTTTCCTCTGTGTACTCCGGTTTCCTCCACCAGTCTGAAGACATGCGTTGTAGGCTGATTGGTATTTCCAGTGTGTGATTGAGCCATGCGATAGGTTGACCCCCCCCTACCCCCGACCATTGTGCCCCGAGTCCTCTGGAATAGACTGCAGGCTACCTGCGATCCTGTGTAAGATAAGCGGTACAGAAAATAGATGGATAGATGTCAGATAATTTCGCTTCTTTTTAAAAAATAAAAGCGTAAACCGATCAAACCTCCAACAGAACAAGATCGTTTTAAGCTTGAAACGAGTAAAAAAATGTCTAGAAATAGGTTTAACCCTCTTACATTTGGTTTACTGGAATCTTATTATAGGAAATATTAGATCAAATCTGACAATATTCAAGAGATTTCCACTTGCTGAGATACCGTGTTTTTTTTAAGGGGAAGAACTGATTAAGAAGCCGCGAGTAGAAGAGCTTTATACGGTTTAAAAATAGTAATCTGGGGCTCTGTAGAAAAACAAAAGCAGTCGACAGAGGTCTTATATCCTCTCCAAGAATGATGAATTATTTCTGAATATAATCCAGAGACACACAGACAGGCCAGCCAGTTTTTTGATGCTAAGCTGTCTGCACATCTCATCAATGCGAGTGCTCAACCTTGCGCAGACCAGCTCACTGGTACGCATCGGCAGCAAAATTCCTCATCAATTCCAGCTACTGGTTTGTAAGTAATATGCCTGAGACAGAGGAAAACTAGCCCACGCTACTCTTCCTTCTTCCTCTGATACTGTAAAAAAAAAGTTGCAGGGTGCTGATGCACACGTTTACAGGCGGAAATATTAATAAAGCTATTGTGGCTGTGAGCTTAGTATTTGAATGAGATGTGCATGACTCAGTGGAAGTGGGATGCGGGGGAGAGGAGCTTATCCGTCCTCTGGCGCCGAATTGATTGACGGCTGGATATTTTTTAGCCCTGCCTCCCTGCTCATGATGGCGGAGGTGTCAGCGAGTCTAAATGATCACGCTGCCATTCTGCTGAGCTTCATGACAGCAGCATCTGTCTTCACGTCTGCGTCTGCGTTCCCCTTCCATGACCTGAAACTTTCTTCTGGAAGTTTCTTTTTTTTTTTTAGTTGTTTTTTTTTTTTTTTTTTTTGCAGACGAGATTAAGTTTCAGTGAGTGAGTTCCTGCGACGAACAGGTGGGGAGGACGGGCTCGTCTTTGTGCTCTTCAACCGTCCAGCTGCTGTATTCAAATGAAGGACTGTGATACGGGATAAATACACAAGAGCACCGTTTCCTGCAGTTTAATCTGTCTACTTCTTGGTAGGAGGGTCATTTTAAAACCCCAAATTAAACCTTATTAATTGCAAACAGGGCTACTTACGACAATTATCTTGTACGTTTCTTTAACAGGATGCTTTTTGGAGTTCTCCACTCCACAAATGAAGCTTGGTGTTTGTTTGAATTCCATCTGAACTGAACCCAAGGACTCACAGATCCAGACAAATAAACCTGAGCATGATCTGTTTGACTGTGTGTAATGATCAGTTATATATACTATACGATATTATATGAACAATTCCATTGATCATAGAGTGCTCATATGTATTGACACCCATCTTTATCTCCATCTTTACATTTACATTGATTTATGTGACACATATTTATCAAAAGTGCCCTGCGATGGACTGGCACCCTGTCCAGGGTGTACCCCGCGACCCTGAAGAAGGAGTAAGCGGTAGAAGATGGATGGATAAATGGATATTTATCAAAAGTACTTTGGCTAAGCAGTCTTTCTGGGCCACATTACCAATTCACCATGCTCTATCTATCGCTGATTTATATATTTATTTATTTTTTAAAAACTAGCTAAATATATATATTTTTTGTAGCATTTAACCATAAATTATTATTTGCCTTTTACTAGTATGTTACTTTTACATTATATTTATATTATTATAATTAATCCACTTTGCATTTCTTGTACTTATTTCCTCCTTTTCCGGTCACCTGTCATTTCGCACCCAGCTGCTGCACATTCTGCATCACAGGGCAGCATACAGTAACACACTTGTAGGGAAAGCGCTATCTACCCTCTTCTGCATACATGAGCCCACAGACACCCACGATTGGCTAGTGACAGGGGAGAGAGTCTATGCCATCCAATCCACCTAGAACGCAAGCCCAATTTTGCTCCCTTGGCTCACAGCCACGCCTGGCTGTTGCATCATCAAGATTTGGACCGGCTTTTTCTGCTATTTTGTGTAAACAACACTGCTGGAATGTGTTCGGTGCGACCCGTTGTTAGCTAGCAATTTAAACAAGCAATGTTCTTGTCCACTCTTAGAAATCTTAAATGAGTTTGTTCTACTGGGGAAAGCCTGAAAGTTTCAGTGTAGATCCCTATGTCAGAGGGTTTACCTTTTAGGGAGAGTTCCAGGTAGAACTTCAGTAAGTGAAGAACCCTTAACTAAACCAGATAACCCTTTGTAAAGCATTTTTTCTTGGAACTAAAGATGGAACTATCTCTGTTGTTCATTTTAATCTACAGATTTGTGTCATCATCAGTAACCATGTACGTCCTTCCTGTCTGTTATCTGCTACAAGCTCTTTCCCTTCTACACAGCAATACCGATGGCACTGGGTCTGCCATTGGTCCGATTCCCTGTTCATTTACTCTGACTTTTACTCGTAAAAATCTTTCCGGATACCAGCGTCTGATACTGTGAGCCGTAAGCCTAGTGCACTAATGCCGCAATGATGAACAGACGATACAAAATGACAGTGATCTGGATGTATTTCATGATTAATGATGGCAATCAAAGCAAAGCAGACTGCAAACTGTGCTCTGTGAAAATATCAAGATTAAGGCGCTACTCTATCTTCCAACAAGTATCCCGATTGGAAAAAAAAAACATGTGATGGAGTTTAAACGGTATCTTTAACAGAAAGGATGGCCGACCTGAGCGAGCAGAGCTGTATCAGCGAACACGGTCGTTAAAACAAGAGCAGGGTGCCGGGACTTGCACACACACAAAGGTACTCATAAGCATGGAGCAGTGAAGTGAATATTCAGAGAAAGTGTCACATGTGAGAGTTCTGCGAGCACTGAGCACTTAGAAATGTGCACTTCGTTTCCTCTCCCTCGCCCGGGTCTACTTTGCGTGTCTAATTCACGGCACCTAGCACGTCTTTTAATGACCGGACTCGGATGTCCTTTTGAGAATACTGTTCAAACATCGTAAAAAGTCAAACCAAGAACGAGGAGTTCATTGCTGGCAAAACATACATAAACATGCATACAGTAGCAACCGACGTAAACTGAGCTAAATAAGATGTTCCATGAGACCTTTAATACTAAGTAGGTTACTCATTTCAGTGTCAATATTGCTAACAGTGAGGACCAGAAACATGTACTCGTACAGTAGTTGTATGAACAACAATAATCCCGATTAAGAACTGATCAAGACGATACCTTGAATAAGAAACTAGCATGTAAACAGCGATTATTGATGACCTTAATCTGATTAAATTCATACTCGGAGTAAACACAAATGGAATTAAGACGTGGAGTAATCCTGTTTTAGTCGCATTGTCGACGTGCGCTACAGACATGAACACACCTTAATCACATTATTAACGTCGTGTGGGATTTTTCACCGCATTTAGCGACAGGACACGTACACGCACGGCAGCGCTCGACCGTTTGACGGCAAACAAGAGAGCACGGCTGCGTCCCAAACCGCGTAATTACCTACTGTATAGTAGGCGAAATACATGTATCTGAGCTACTATACAGTAGGTAAGTACGCGGTTCGGGACGCAGCCCACGGCTTCAACAGTCGTCTATTAGCACGTACAGCATCAGACAGCTGTTGTATTTTTTTTTCTTTGCATGATGGGACAAGGAATTCTAAAAAGTGTCTACAATTTTTTCAGCAAGAAGACGGTTTTTATATTTTTCAGTGTGAACACACTGAAGAACACATTGAAGACAAGAGACGAGACAGTTTATATATGTCTAAGCATTGGTAATAGTATATAAATAAACAGTCTGAGACACAGCATCAGTCATTTCCCATCAATAGGTCACCATATTCCTGCATCTTCATCCCTCTCTCTGTGCAGGTGCTCGGAGTGTTTATCTGGTTCGGCGTGGTGCCGCCCCACACTATTGTGGACTACGATGAGCTGCGGCCGCTCAACCCCGAGCTGGCACGTGGCATCCTGAAGTGTGATATGTCCGACCTGTCTCTGATCTGCTGCCTGAGCTACAGCATCTTGCTCATGGTCACGTGCACCGTTTATGCCGTCAAAAGCCGAGGCGTCCCCGAGACTTTCAACGAAGCCAAGCCCATCGGCTTCACCATGTACACCACCTGCATCGTGTGGCTGGCCTTCGTGCCCATCTTCTTTGGTACGGCACAGTCCACGGAGAAGGTGAGAGCTGTCTGGTTAACGACACGACTTCGCTACTGTCCGGTTTATAAATATTACATATTTAAATTTACAAGCCAAGTGGGAAAGAAGGCAGGAAGGAAAAGGAATTTGCTTCCGCTACCAGTTCAGGAGGACAATAAGGGACTAAATCATAAATATACAGTATAAAGGTACATTTTGATGGACTATTACAACCACTCCTAAGAGAGGGAGCGCAAAAAGAGAAGAAATGAAAAGGAAAAATAATTAAATGACGTAGCTAAGTCATAAACCATCGAATAAGCGTGCATGCAACAAGCAAGTAATGAATCAATGATAAATAAATGATAAACGAACAAACAAACAGGCAGGTAAATAAAAGATGGATAGACAGATAGATAAAGCCTTTTTTTTTTTACGGCTTCTCCAAATGAAATTCAGCCACATTAATAAATTCAGCCCCTCGTTTATACAAATTAGCACATATTGGAGATTGAGATCAGGTACATTGAGACGGACTGTGCGGAGAGAAATCTCATTACACTCATTACACACTTCAT